TTTTAAATTAACACTTTATTATCCAATTTTGTAATATAAACAAATGGCCTAAATCAGAAAATGGTGACGTTACGGCATAAAAGACGCAGTATTTCTACGTCATTCTTTTCGCCGGGGACTGTATGCACCCTCAGGCTCATTCCCAAGGAGCGTGCATATATGGAGGGTAGACTGTACTCGAATCATGGGTAAAACTTGTAGGGAATAATCGCCTGAGTTGACGTATTTTATTATATAATATTCACGCTCATATCATATTACTATCTAATGGGTAACCACGTATATGATGCTAAAATATCAAAGATGGTTCCTATCGCTATGTTATATAACGGGACCATATCCTTCTCTGCCTGAGCCTTATACAATGCATCTGCATATTTTTTTTGATCAAACTGTTGAAAAACAAGGGGTGGAAAGCCACCACGGGCAAGATAAAGCGCCATGAGTGAACGTCCCACACGTCCATTACCATCCCAGAATGGATGAATATGAAGGAAGGACGAAAGTATGCGACATGCGTTCATAAGAGGGTGGATTTGATATGGTTCATGATCCTCAACATTATCGCTAGTAACGGTCTTGTTGTAAAATTGTACAAACCTTTCCGTCAACGCGGGCACTTCCTCTCCATACTACAAAGAACACAGATTGAGTCATAATCGAAACTTGATAAGCGGGGATTAATAAACTAAAACTTACCGGATAAACGGTCAAATGATAACCTACTGCCTGCATTGACATTGTTCGAAACATTCCTGCTTGCTGGATTTTGCCCCATACATTAACTCTCTCCTGTGGGGTATCTTTCAAAAGAGTACGATGGATCTTCTTTATATTGTCGATGTTTATTTCTTGTTCTGATTTTAGCAAAGTATTGTATACGTAATGGGTCGCAAGCAGGTGGTTACGGATTTCGACAACTTCAATCTCCTTTCCAGGTTTATCAAGAAGAGATTTCGGTTCGGGTAATTGTGCTCCCTCACATTGCAAATCGTCAATGCTATAGTCTTGGTTCATTTTTTCCCAAATGATTTGTGACTCTGCACTTCCTAGTGAATTTCCCTCTATGACGCAACTTTGATGCGAAAAACTTACAATCATACGTTGAAGAAGATCGTTAACCGGAATCTCGATAGTATCTTTGATGACAGATATCTCATCTAGAAAACCGGAATATGTTGCGTAAAATTCTATTGAGGAAGTAAAAAATTGGCATAATTGTCATTCCGAACAAAAAGTCGCGAAAACATAAAAATTTACTGTTCGTACCATAATCCTGTGCACGCCATTCAAACGGACGAAAATAGTTCTCCCAGACCTTCCCAGATTTACCAAGATCTAAATATTCTTTTGTCCCCTTCTTTAATTTTGAGAAAGAGGGAGTATAAATCTACGAAAAAAGTAAGAAGTATTATTTTCTGAACGCACGATCTGAAATACGCAGATTCAAAAGGTACCTCTTTTAATAAAGCTTTCCTCTCTTCAAGCTGAGCTTTTGAAAAGTATGAACAAAACTGAAAATTGTTGCGGAAATAGGAACTTGTCAGGGGAAGAATTAATTTTCTACGCAACATGGTGAGTGTAAAAAAAATTTTCTGCACGCTTTTCATATGACTTAACGATTATTGCTAATATTACGCCCGATTTATGAACTAGCTATGGTGCATTTATTAATATGCATAATATATTACAGGGGGTACCAAAAAGTTTGTGAATTTTTATGTAAATCAACAGCACTTTTATTAGACTGCAGTGTTGTAACAATAGCGTATTTTGTCCTATCTTTTTTTTAAAACAAGTACAACTACTTTGCTTCAACTTAATTAAAAAAGCATGAGTACTTATATTGTAAATACAAAATAAAAAGTTTTTGAAAAAAAGTTATTGTATTTACAAAATTTGCAAACTTTTTGGTACCCACTGTATATAGCAATTATGTAGTCATTATATCTCAATACAAGGTTTTAATAATAATCTGATTGTGAATTTACAGAAAAAAGTATATCAATTATTTTCCCTATTCTAAAAACGTCCATATGGACAGTTTCTGTGGCAGTCACATGTCTTGCTAACAAGCTGTTTAAATTTTGGTGTTCCAAGGGTATCGCGTTTGAAACTTGCTTTTGTTGATGGTGGACTTGGATTACAGATCTTAGCATAGAAACTATTAAAGAATTTGCGAAAAATCTCTCGTACTCCTAAAAGCACATCTATTTCATCAACGAAAGACAACATCGCTTTCACCGAAGCCGGAACTGAAAATCGCCCGATATGGATTATAACATATGTTCCTTGAATGAGATCCATCATATAGAAGTCTAATGTATAATCTATAAAAAGCAATGTCCCAAAAAGTTAGCCATAAAAATCGTGGAAAAAAAAGCATCTATTATAATTTCTTACCAACGCATTGAAAATTTAGAAATTTTATTTCAGCACCCAGTCTATTCAAGGCAGTCTTTCATAAAAATACCAACTCGAATTAGATCATTGCAATTCTTATAAACATTATTTTTTTCTAAAGGTGGACTGACTTCACCCACAAATATAACACCGCTTTTTATTTTCTGTAGCTGGTGGATAATAAATACTACAAAGTCCGGTTGTTTGCTTCTTCCTTGTAATTTCCTTGCTTTACTTTCATCAAGACCCGTATTGGGCCATTCAACAATATGTTTGTCTGAATTATAAAATATTTCCCTCATGATGCGGTCCACATAGATCATTTTTAATTTTTTCAGTCGGCAACGTTTTCCAAGATAACGTAATCCATGTTCTCATCCAACATTTGATCGCTTGTAAGTTCTGCCAGCAGTGATTTTATGGCACTGCGACGCGATTCTTTTGTTGCTTGCTTGATCACCTTCCTAAAATTTGATTCACATTCTGAGTCTAATTCTGTTTGCTGAACAGTTTTGAATTGTTGGTAGACTTCATCAAGCAGAGGAAACCGAATATGTTGACTATCGTTTTTGAGTAAGAGTCTGGAATAAGCAGAAAAATCGAAGACAGTGCCAGTATTTCATGTACGTTTGATTCAACGAATAGACCATCGGTCTTTGCGATCTTTACTTACTCATTCTGATATTTCCGAAATTATTGAGATATATTAATTTCTCCTATCTTTAAGATCAATTTCTGGATCCCCATCATTGAAGCACAGTTCGCCTACATCATCAATTATTATAATTCCGTTCCTCGTCCTCTTCCATTACAAATGGATTATCTATTGGCAATGAATGTAATGTTGGACTGCATGGCGATGGTGTAGAATATCCATTTTGATGTTGTTTTTTCATCATCCGTTCCTCATTATAATCGATATCTTGTCTTTCTTAAGAGATAAGATTTGTTATCCGTAGCTGACTCATCCTAGGTGGCATACGAATAATTATAAAAGTTTGGTGTTGAATTAGTATCTCAGTGCTGTGCGACAGCAGAATACCGTTTGTACCGTTTCCAGATATCTCTAAAAGAAAAAGGGTAAATGAACCTCTTTACCTTGTTAGTATCCTCCGCTTCTTCTTGTTCATTATTTCTGGATTTTTTTGCTTCATTTCTTTCCAAAAGATTTAACTGAGACCTATGAACCACCCTTGAGGTATCGTTTAAACGTTCGTTTCCCGTTTGCAAAAAAATTCATAATACCTTCAGCCTGAAATTTTATTAAAATTCATTATTTGCTTCAAATCTATGATCCTGAAAGCTTAACCATACGTTACCTCGACTATTTTTCGTTTTTTATCTAATGTAACGAGTTTTTGGTCCAGCATTTTGTCTTCCCAAAAATTTTTAACTTCCTCCGATTCCTTTTCATTTTCCAAAAAAATAGCCCGCGAAAGTAAACGCGCAGATGAATATTAATTTTGCAATTGTCTATTTTTTATTGTAATTAAAATTCTAAACTATCATAATGTATCTATAGCGGAGCCGTAGCCTTTCGTACACACAGCCGTAGCCAGCATCCTAGCTAGTAGAGTAACAAAGCATTACTTAACAGAGCCGTAGCCATTATACTAGTTAATAACACGTTACAACTTTCGCATGTTGAGATCCCGCAGGCCGTAGCTATTAGGCAACAAAGCGAATGTCTACAATACAATAGTAGCCCTGATCCTACTGACTTACCGCAAACTTCCCCAAAGCTTCTACGATTGCTTTGTGTTGTTCGTCCATTTCTTTACAGCTTCGTTTAATTATAGTAAGTTCCGAGACGTATTGAGATTGACTTTGTCCTTATGAAGCGAATCTTTTGTTTGCGAGAGATAAATTAAATATGTAATCAATGATGGTTTCGAAATCGAACTCCAGTATGCTGTAAATTTTAACGAATATAATGAGAATACTGACTCCTTGGATAAGTAATAAGCTATGCACCAATATGTACCTGGTTCTCTTAGCTTTTTACAAACGTTTTCATTTAGTTTCATTTCGACTGTGCCAAACATAAACAAATCTAAGTAATGGCGCGCGTTTAGCAGTCACATGGAATTTTTTTATTAGCTCCGACTCTTATTAATCATACCATTGACAACATATCAAAGTTCTTTACAATTCCATCAACCATACGATATAGCAAAACAGTTAATATTATACTAATGCTATGTATAATTTTTGTTTAATAAAAACAACGATAGAAGATATTTCGATTAATGAAATCGTAGAGAATTAACAATTTTGAATGTATTACATTTGTAAGATTATGAAATATCGTATTATTAATGCGGAATCGCTACACTGTAAAGAGTTTCATTAACGATTAAAAAAAACCAAAGTCTTTTATGGCATATTAGTATACGTATAAAAAATTCGGACCGCAAAATTGTGCAATTTCCCAATTATTCCATGGCAAAAAAAGAGGTGCGGGCATGTGACTATGGGTATACATTAAGAACAGTTATTTTGTTCTGCAGATTCCTTATCAATCACATGACATTTGTCCAATAAAATTAAGCCTGAAATATTTCAAACTCCGGGTCAAAATCATCTCTTGTAAGAACAAAACTTTAATATTGAACTCGGAATTAATGTTGGAGCCTTTTCTTCAAGTAATTTATAAATTTCGAATGACATTTTGTTAAATGAAAATTTTGCAGTTCTTTTATCGTATAGTCGTTCACAACGTTTCGACATCTGGCGAATAAACTTTGTTATTTCGTTTTTGATAACTTTCTGGACTTCTTAGCCTGTTGTACCTCAGTTCAGGACCTGTCTCAGTTCTGGGCTGAGACAACCGGGTTCTGGACTGAGTGTTTCTGAGACAGATCCTGCACTCAGACACAAGTTAACCTTGTGGGTATCCCCATGTGGGAGCTTGAAGAACAAGAACTGTCATTGATTTGGATATAAATTTCAATTATTATTATTAATGCATTCTTTGTAATATTTACTTTAATTGACAATCTATCCAGAAAATAAAATAAAATAAAATAAAATAAAATAAAATAAAATAAAATAAAATAAAATAAAATAAAATAAAATAAAATAA